TCAGAGGGCTCAGAACATCTTCTTGCAAGTGAGTATATTAGTTATCTGCGTTCTCCCCATTCCAGCAATCCTTTGTCCAGCTCTTGTTGGCCTATTGCTATTCACGAACCCTTTTATATCTCCTATCACCATGACATCTAATCTTCATGGAACAAGAGCTACGTATGTCTAGATATCCCTTTTTCTGCCTTCCACGTCTTCGAATACAATTTTGATGGTGTGATGGTCGCTGATCAGGAGGGGGTCACTGAATAGAGCTGGTATGGATTAGCTTGTCACAGTCGTGGTACTCTGGGTTGCCTGCAGTCTGTCTGCTCTAAAAGAATTCGAAACTCTGCTGTAGACTTCTGCCACTGTTGATATCTCCAGTCACAAGCAGAGACAATACCGGGTCCAGCTCTTAATGTTTTTACCGTCCTCCAGTAGTACACCCAAAGACCTGTCAACAATGCTATGCCCAAGAGTAATCGCCCTGATCGCTTTACCTTCCGCGTCAAAATCCTGCCATCCCCTGGAGACTATCCAAAAGTGAGGTACATGTGTTTCCAGACCGATCATGTAACTTCCTCCTGATCACTCTTTCCTTCACCCAGGCTGCCAAGACCTAACTTTTGCATCACTCGAGACCAAAATGATCGCAACCTGATTCTACACACTACTTAAACTCGTCAGCTTGTTTCTGTCTTCCTTCCCTTCTTCCACATTTTCTTCACACCAATCTCCTCACCACACGTCAATTTACGTGCCTTCTTTACCTACACAATCATCTCCTTGTCCTTTCCTTGTAAGGCAGCTCTTCGTTTCATTGTCGCAGCAGTCATCATTTAGTCGTTGCCTGAGAGTCTCGGCGCCGACCCACGACGTAGCAAATTCATCTAACAAAGTCAACATGTCTTGGTCCAATGGCGGTAAGTCTGCCTCTCTTTCACCTTCACATCACTTGACAATTCTCCTTGTTATCTTCAACCATTTCTTGTCACATTACAATGGGTAGAGACTGGGATAAATGGAGAAAACCTCGACCAGGTCAAAACCCTCGCCTTCGAAGGTCTCCTGAACTTGATCCCATCGACGAAAACCTTCCTTCACCCTCATTTCATGACTTACACTCCTTTAACTGGCACCATCCTTGGGATATTGACATGTCACTAGGTGACGGCTGGGCCACTGGTGACGCTCGTAATTTCACTCCTACCCATGATGAATGGAATGACTCCACAACTGGCGTTGCTGGCCACGGGAATGAAGGCTTCAATGACGCTCGAACTGATAAAGACCTTGGTGATGCAGCTGCAAGTCCTGCCGGCGGTGCTGGCGGAGCTTGCTTCAATTGTGGTCAAGGTAAGGTTGACAACGCTTACCTCTCTTCCATGCTAATATTATTCTCCAGAAGGTCATATCAAGGCCGAATGCACGGAGCAACGAAAATTCACTGGCGAATGTCGAGCATGCGGACAAACTGGGTAAGTCCCGACTGATCACTATTGCAGACTCGTAGAGGTATCTCGGCTAATAGATTGTCCTCCAGACACCTAGCTAAAGAATGTCCTTCCAAGCCCAAAAAATGCAACCAGTGTCTCGAAACAGGGCATGACACTATTGATTGCAAGAACCGAAAGGTTCTTGACATGGCAGCTGTGCCAGAAATGTCCGAAGCCGACGCTTGGAGACTAATGAGAGAAGCCTCTGACGAGCGCGACATTGGAGACTTCAAGGAGGCTCTCAAAATCCTCTCGAAAGCTAATCCGGACATCACCTATCTCGATATTGAAGATGAATGTCGAAAACGTGAACTTGACATCTACCTTGTTGGCCTGAAAAAAGATTTGTCGCCGGCATACACCAATACAAACCTGCAAGGCGAAGTCGGCAAGGCTTATACTCTGGGTTTCTTCACCTCGGCTTCTTGCCCACGCCCGATCTTGATGCCGAACTGGCCAAAAGATGTAGAAGAGAATAGAACTCGACTGGCTAACGCTGGCATACCTCTCGAACGCGGCGTCATTATTTGCGGTGCCTGTGGCGAAGCCGGCCACTCCCGAAAAGCGTGCGAACAATCGACCCCAGAGGCTCCTAAAGTTATGTGTTTTCTCTGCGGTGAGTCTGGCCATCGTGTTCGAGACTGCGATGCCCCCAGACAGAAGCCACAGGCACCAAGAGCATGCAGAATCTGTTCCAGCGAGCTTCACATGGCTGCCGATTGTCCCGAGAAGCGCAAGATGATTTGCAGACGTTGTGAGCAAGAAGGTCATAAGGCAAATGAGTGTGAAAAGTAGGTTTTGGCTCGTCCCCTCCATATCGCCTCTCATACTGACAAGGACAGTGAACCTGTTATTCGATGCCAAAACTGCAATGAACTTGGTCATGTGTGGAAAAATTGTCCGCTGCCGAAGGACTGGTCCAAAGTCAAATGTCGAAGTAAGTAACCCCTCCAAGCACCCTTTGGAAGACCAACACCAACTAATGAGTAAAGATTGCGGCGAGATGGGCCATACACGTGTCCGATGCTCACAGGCACCCAAGGAAGAAGTAGAACCGGTCGGCGACTCTGGCGACACAGGTGAAGTCGGTGCAGGCGGTGATGACTGGAAAACCAATGTTGCAGAGCCTATTACTGCTGGAGGTTGGTAGGCACTCCGACTCGACACACTTCACCAAATCCAAAGCTCATCCTTGAACTTAACACATGATTCGAATGGCAAGGCCATGATGGTGCCGATGGCATCGTCCATGAGGGTGCGATATACGATGCATTCTCCGAAGAGACAAGAACAAAGACATGATTCTACGTGCTTCTAAGATAGCCCAATGATATCTCATGAAGCTCAATGAATCAATGGTCTTGTCATTGCTTCCTTACATGCCATCTTCTTGTATTTCATGATGTTGTTGCTCTTTAAAAAGTAGCAAAGCTTGATGAAATCATTTGGAAGTCGTTGAAGCTCGAGCTCCGCTGCCAAAACAAAATTGTTTCAAACGTACAGTAAGCTGTAAGCACCAATACCGAGAACCACGCTTCGAGACTGCAAACAGTTCCTCTCTTCGAATTGTAAACACCTTGTCCTTAGCAAGGCACCAAGTGGTCCATGAAACATCTGCTATTTTGAAATACGATTCGCAAACCAAATTCCAGCATTCGAAGAGAGCATCAGGATATGTTTAAGTTGGCTCATGTGTGCTTAAAATTCGACCGTATCATTGCATCCGGTTAGACGGACGTTTCCGGAGCCGAGGTGATGCTTTTCCATTCGCCGAACTTTTCCATCCTGCGTCACTGGCAGCGAGCATCACGCTGGTAGCAGATTTCTCTCCCAACAGATATATTTTCTTGGTGGACCTGTACTCACTGACTTAATCATCTTCTTAGCTTGAATTTCTTCTCTTCCTAGCGGCAGCATCTTCGATATTGGAGCATTGGCGCAAGCAGGTGGCATCTCGTCTTCCTTCTTTTGGACGCTTGACTACATTGTACAGCATAGCAACGTCCAAACACGGTCATTTTTGAACAGCTAGATCTAAAGTTGTCTCCTCCAGTCACCATCAGCGGCTACTCAAGCTCGGGCCTTCACATCAAACTTCAACCCTAGACGGACCCAGTCTAACATACCCAAGATGGCACCCACCGGTTCCTCTGACCCACGCGTCACCCCCATGATGTCTTTGATAGCCGGCGGCACAGCAGGTGGAATAGAATCCTTCTTGACTTACCCCTTCGAGTTCGCTAAAACTCGTGTTCAACTTCGCGCAACCCTAGGCAAACCAAGCCCAAACAATCCCTTTCGTGTTGTTGCCGACGTTATTCGTAATGAAGGCGCACGTGCCCTCTACCTCGGCTGCAGCACCCTTGTTGTCGGAACCATTGCCAAGGATGCCATCCGGTTCATGTCCTTCGACAGCATCAAGCAGGCATTTAGCACCAAAGAAATTGATGCAGACGGCCGCGAACGGAATCGTCTAAGTCCACTAAGGAGTTTGTTAGCAGGAATGAGCGCGGGAGTTGTGGCGAGCACGTTTGCGGTGACGCCGACAGAAAGGGTGAAGACGGCATTGATTGATGACGCGAGGGATACAGCTGCACGGGGCCTAGGTATGGAGGAGAGGAGGTTTCGAGGGGCGTGGCATGCAACCAAGACGCTCATGAATGAACGGGGAATGTATGGGTTGTATCGAGGGTATGTCACGACTACGATGAAGCAGGCGGGGACGACCTCTGTGCGTATGGGCACATACAACATTCTCAAGGAGCTATCCGAGACGTACCAGGTTCCGCAGACGACAGCAACGAGTTTTGGTAATGGTGCAATTGCTGGGATCATAACGACTTACGCGACCCAACCAATTGACACAGTGAAGACCAGGGCGCAGAGTGCGAAAGGTGCCGGCACGATCGAGGCATTCAAAGGGGTTATTGAAGACTATGGCTTCCGAGGTTTGTGGCGGGGAAGCACGATGAGATTAGGACGGACTGTGTTTGCTGGTGGCATTCTATTTACAGCCTATGAGCAGGTCATCGCTGTTTTGATGCCAATCATGGGACGCGGAGAGGGTGTGCAGGAGCATAAGGCTGCTGTACAATGATGTTTCACCTGACTGAACTCAATCATCAAATCATATGCTTACATGCCAAGTGCCCTCCAAAAGGCGAGTCAAGACCAGCACGCAACTACCCTTGAACCGAATCTCAACGACGCTTCGCATTTACGAGATGTTCCTAGGAAGCAGTGATCAATCAACGCTCAAAGAAGCACCGAAATGCTGCATGGGGATGACCATGGACATGCCCTTCAAAGCTCGATGGCCACCAAATGTCAAACAGTGTAGGCATACACTCTTCCGCTCGATCTGCACAATCTCGGTTTATTCCACCTCGACATAGCGTCCTCCTCACCACCACATCACATCCTAGAACACTATCCTCCTTCTCTATCTGGGTTCCTACCAATCGATATATTTCAGAAGCCCCAAAACACATCTAATGATTCTCAAAGAAAATCAATTCAGTTCTCGTGGCGCAATCGGTAGCGTGTTTGACTTCGACGGATCCTAAAGACTTCAGACCTTGCTCCTACCCTCTCGAATGGGTATTTCGTCCTGATAGGACACAGAAACGTCAAAAGGTTGTCGGTTCGAGCCCGGCCGAGGACGACTTTTTTTTCTGCACACGAAGTAGTGGATAATGGTTCTTGCAAATTGGGAATTGTCAAAGCGTGGCAGTGGGAATGAGGGACCGAGACAGGGTTAGAGCGGTGGATGAATAGAGTCTCCGAAGTGGTGGTGTCGAAGAGTGCTCGGCAATAAGATTGTGTTGCGACATTATGGTGCGGAACGATTACTCGTTTCGGTTAGCGTTTAGCAAGGCACAAGTTTAGGCGTTATGATTTTCTGGGATATGGGATTGTGGGTGGGCTGCACGTTCAGAATGGGTACATACGACTGAACTACAAGGAACATAGACAAGGTATACTGTACAAACATGGAGGAAGGAATAGCTTGCTGATTTGTTCCGTACCTGAGGCGGTAACGCAGAGCATGACTTGGCACATATACATAGCGTTGATGTAGTCAGCCGAACATTATAAGTTGCGACCCAACACAGATAGAATAAAAACCTACAACTTCGCCTTTGCTCCGTCTTGAATCTCCGCAACCTCAACCAACATCTTCCCGGTATTCCTTCCCTCGTACAGACTCACCAACGCCTTCTCTGCCTCTTTCAGTCCACCCTTGATCACTGTCTCACCTCTCTTGATCTTTCCATCCTTAACCCATTGCGCTAGTTCCTGCCTAGCGTGGCCATACTCCTTCTCAAAGTCGAACACAATGAACCCCTGCATCTTGATGCGCATGGACACGACCATGAGGTAGTTCTTTGGTCCCTTCTGCACAGCCGCGTTGTACTGGCTGATGCCGCCGCACATCACGAAGCGTGCGAACGGCGCGGCACGCGAGAGTGCAAGATCGAGGATCTCTCCGCCGACATTGTCAAAGTAGACATCTATGAGTTGCTTTTTGGTCGCAGCGCGGAAGTCCTTGGCGAAAGTGGATGATTTGTAGTTCAGTGCTACATCGAAGCCGAGGTCTTGCGTTAGCCAGGAGCATTTGTCATCACTTCCTGCAATCCCAATCACTGTCGCACCCTTGAGCTTCGCGATTTGCCCCACCACACTGCCTGTTGCACCCGCCGCACCACTGACAACAACTAGATCACCCGGCTTCGGGTCTCCAATCTTTAGGAGCCCAAAGTACGCTGTCAATCCTGTCAACCCAAGCACGGAAAGCGCGTCTATGGCGCTGCGGCGGATACCTTCACCAGTTTCAGGCACGGCTTCACAATCCTTGTCGTTCAAGACGGCGTATTCCGCCCAACCTGCACTGTTGGTCACGACGAGATCTCCGGTTTTGAGCATCGATGACTTCGAAGCGATGACGCGCCCAACACTGCTGCCGCGCATGACCTCGCCGATCTGGACAGGTTTAATGTAGCTTCGGGTGTCGTTCAACCAGCCACGCATAGCAGGGTCGAGAGAGAGATAGAGAGTTTGGTAGAGTACTTGGCCATTCTTGAGAGATGATGCAGAGGGAGTGGTGTTTGTGGTTTTGGTTTGAAATGTTTCGCCAGGAACGATTGTGGATTTGGGACGTGCGGCAAGTGTTAAGGTTGTGTAGGTTTTGGGAAGATTAGATACCATATCGAATTGCGTGTACCCAGGTGACGGGGCCGCTATGCTGTGAGACCTGGTTTTTGGTACAGAGTGAAGGTGGCTAGAATGGCGGGTTGTGATGGCTCCGAATTCGAGCTCTGTATTGGCCAGGTGGGAAAAGGCAGAGCTCAACTATTGAGTAATGATGGCCGTTGGGGTCTGTCGTTTGTCAGTGAGTTAAAAGAGCAAATTTGGTCCCATGGATTATTGCCCCGAAATTGAAGAAGAGCAGTGATCCATTTTGTAAGCTGGTGGTATGAGGAGCATTCATGTCGAATAAAAGTTCATTGACCTCGGCACTTTCCTGACTTGGCAATATCACCGTACCATACTACACATACGCACGAGAGCCAGCAAACGAGCTCGGAACGGCCGGTAAGACAATTACAATTGTATTTACTGTACTTAAAAGTCTCTTCGAGGATGTTAGCAAGCAACAGTAACAAGAACATGGGTTTGTCATGGCTAAGGATTCCGCCAGTGTGTTAAAATAGTGGTGGTTGAATACACCACCATCAAAATGTGCTTCTGAATCGATACCGATTACTTAATCTTAGTAGATGTCCACAGTCAATCGATTATTTATGAACTTCCCTATCTTTGGCAGGAGAAGCACAACACTCTCTGCGGAGACTGCCAAGTAGGATAATCAAACGCCACAGACACTGAAGGCCCATCCGCAAGTGCTCATCTCACAGGCTGGTCGCCTGTTGCGATGATATGTTTAGATGTACATAGGGCACGTATTGTGTTACTAGCATTATGTTCGATCTCATTCACATATTGTTTATTCTAAAATTGAGTATCCTTCAGAGCTTTATGTCAGATAATGTTCTCTCTCTTTCAAGGACTCGATGTGCGTACTCGGATGTGGTCATTTCTACGGATCGCTTTGGAGTGGCAAGCTTGCTGCTATATCAAGCTCACAAGCGTTTGGGATTTATGTAGCTTGATTGAAGGATACCATCAGAAAACCGGCTGGGCATTGTCTGAATGATGGAAGAGCACCATCCACTTCAATCATTTAGTTATGATTGGTAAATGCAAGGGTGAAGCAAGAATTTGAGAAATCGAGCTTTCTAGGACACCTACCACAAATTTTCGATTGAATAAACCTCTTGGTGAGGCTGGAATGTTGTTTTATAAGCACTACCTTGCACGATGGCTGATGAATTTTCATTCGAGGCGCTACATCTGCTAGGCTTGCTTCTGGTTTGATTGTAAGCTCACCCGACTCCCCTCAAAGTCTGACCATCGAACTGCTATTGCTCCTTGAAGCATCAACACATCACACGAAACACGAATTGGACAGAAAGACCGCGGTGTTAGTGATATGTAGAACATGTTCCAAGTGCCAAATCATCAGCGGTATTGTCACTAGTGATGATAGTCTCGTCATATCGGGATGGTTTGAAAGGATACAAGGGAGGAAGTAACCAAAATTAGAATGTGGAATTGCTAGGTTGAACGGAAGCTCCCAGTGCCCATCAAGAACGGATTGTTCCGCCTAAGGTGTGTTGTAGATATTTTGGGAGGCGTTCTTTCAAAAGAAGTTCATGCAGAGGGAAAGGCGATTATCGGTTACCACAGGCAAGGCTTTGGAGGAGTATTTCGATCTAGCCCTGCTCGGCAGCTGATTGGTTGGAGGTTGGGAGGTTTCAGCTGGCTAAACAGCACGTCGCACATTGTTCGCTCGACAAGAACGATGGTCTAAGTCTCACTGAAGCTGGTCTTGTGAACACTGACATAGATCCATGAAAAAGAGGCAGTCAAAGGAGCATTCTGAGCAGTCTGACTGTTCGAACCTTGTGTTCGTGTTGCATAGACAACGGTAGGCTTAACAACCACGCTATGCCTATTACAGTATCAACATTATCAACTTGAGACTTGCTCTACAGCCAACGGAACAATGACACCGGAATGTTTGGTATTTGTTTGAGATGGCTTCATCGGTGTGGTGAGGCAAGAAAACTGAGAGAGACACTGGTACAAAAAGAAATGCTACATCAGTAGAATGTTTCAAGTTCTATCAGGTACGAAGCGCACATTTCTCTATAGCAATGCCCATGACACCAATATTGAAAAAGTGCATGTATAATTACGTTTGGGGAGGTGTGCGCTGCCGTGAGCAGGAAGCTGCACAGCCGATGACAACCCGAGCGAACATCGGTTGATGCAGATCAGTTGTAGCTGTCGCCGAGCAACACCACACCAAGGCAAAGAAAAAAGACTGCACGGTGACGCGTACACTGAGACACTTGATGAGCTCATTATTTTGGCAGTGTGAATGCCACCCCACTTTCTCTTGACTGATAGACATATCACCAGCAACTTTGTAATTAATGATATGGTCGCATGCGCATGCGTAGAGCAGACAAGCTTATGTGGACAGACCACGTAGTCGAAGGAAGGGTAATCTCCCTCGTTGGAGTTGAACGAGGCAGTGCACAGCGTTTGATAGAGGGACAGTCCCCTGAAAGCTGGAGAGGTTTGTCGGGGCGCTAGGGCTATTTTCAGACTAGAATCGCTAGCCGGCGACGGACAAACGACCTGCAACAGGGCTTGGCAGGCAAACTGGTTGGGTCTGGTTGCAACCTCTGGCGCGCATCTTCCCTCTTCGAGACTCGCGTCACCCCTGCCAGACTGGCAACCAAGTTTTGCCTCTCCCTGCACCTGCAAAGAAGTCACATCTTCTCCAGCCCTTCCATCTGCATCTTGAATCTCTCGACGAGTACCTGCCATCTCCACCACCTTCACCCTTCCACACTCGCTATCAACAACAAAGAGACGGTGACAACGACAGTGTCTCGTCCTTATTTCATCTTGCGTGGTGCAGCTGCAACGGCTGCCGCGTCTCATCCATCGCTTGCGACTGTTTCCCTTTCGCCATTCGCTTCAGGTTTCGTTTCACCTCGACATAAACAACTGCAGATCCGCATAATACCACACATGACCCTCTCCTAAGCTACGCTGGACGACCTTTGAAAGAAAAAAGAACAGTAGAAGGACAATCATATCCCTTGGGTCGGTCACAGAGGCAGTAGCTTCTGCGTCCGCTATCGAAGGCCATCATGCGCTTCAACAATGGCGCTCTCCTCACCTCCCTGGGTCTGCTGGCCTCGTCACAACTCGCCTCGGCCATTTCTGTCATCGAGTCGAATTCTCTCAATACCTGCATGGACAACTCGAACTTCACCGCGAACCTGTTCGACTTTAGCTTGACGCCGGACAACAGCAGTGCCAGTATCGAGATTAATGGTTTCTCTTCCATAACTGGGAATGTCGTCGCCATCGCCGAGGTCATTGCCTATGGATTCACAATACTTAATCAGACTGTCGACCCCTGCAAAATGGACTTGGCTGGCTTCTGTCCCATGCAAAAAGGTCAATTATCTCTGCCTCAATCCACCATCCCGCTTGACAAGGATACTTTGAGCCAAGTGC